AACTCTCAATCAATAGTGGGGTCCACAACCCTATATAATTCGATATGGAACATCCTCCCACAAATTTCCAATTTGTAACTTCCTAAAAGTCTCATTAATTTTCTAGAACAATATTCTAAAATTTCGGAACGATCCAACAGTCGGATCGTTGATGGTTATAATGATCAAGTGGTGGACCCTAACGAAACTATGTTCGAACGATGGAATTTCGTCCATCGGATGTCACATATGGAATCAAGGTAACAAATTTAGCCTAGAAGGGTCAAGGGGGTCCTCGGGCCACACGCCGCCTCATGTGGCGGCCGGTCGTCCCGACTCGTTGGAAAATTCATCTAACTCCAAAAATTACCAAATTTTACAAGAATGTAGAGCACAACAAGGGGAAGAACTTTCATACCTAGGCCGAAGTCCAATTTGACCGGGAAACACCTGAAAACCACCTTGATTCATTTGAAACCCTATAATTAGGTGTTCTCCAATTCGTCAAATCCGTAACTCCACCACCCCCAAACTTGTTTAGGCTTGTTCCTGGTCTCAAGAGAAGTCTTTTGATGGTGGTTATCGATGGTGAAGGTTGCCGGAAAGGCGGATCGCCGCCGTCGTGTTCTTGAAGCCGACGGCTTCGATCTTTCCAAATTAGAGCCAAAATGACTCAGTTTTTGGATGAAAAAGGAAGATGGGACATTGGTGAGTTGTTTCCAGGCAATATTTTGACTAGATTCGCCTAAAAAATGACGGAGAAAATGTCAGGGTTGCCTTGCGGGAATGGGGTTGGGTCATGGGTTGAAGGGAGAGAACTGGGTCAGCCGGTTCTCCCTTCCATCCTTTCCCTCCTTTCCTCTTTCTCTCCTCCATCTATCTCTCTCATTTCCCTACATGGCCACACATGGCACCATCTCACTGTTCCAGCAAATCTGGAGCCTTCCAAATTAATAATCAAATGTTGTCTTTGTTCGTTTATATCTCATTCATTATAATTCCGTTTCATGAACGGTTTCCGCCTATGAGCTTGTATCGAGACGTACTATTAAAAAATGTAAAGAAATCTGAAAAAAATCATGAAAGGATCAAATACGTTCGTGAAAATTCCATTTAGTTCATTAAGGGCATTTTCATACTTTTACTCATCGAAAAAAAAACTATACATCATAAATACAAAAGCATCGAAACTATGACTACGAATACGAATATGAAATATGAAATTTTAAGCAGTAAAATCTAGGGACGGGATTTCACAGTTATAGCTTAAAATTTTCTCAATTAAAATTTTAAGCTTGAACTCACACCATTGCACATGGTCTTAGTGAGTGTGTTATGCATAGACAGATGTTGATTTGGTTGGAAAGAGATCCTGTCCGAATCTCTTCCACCAAAGCCCACATATCAAGTGATTTGGGCCCTTGAAATTTGATCCAACGACTAAATTATTATAACTTTTAAAAGGGGCCTCTCTTTTTAGTCGTTAGATCAAATTTTAAGGGCTCGGATGACCTGATCTATGGGCTTTGGTGGAAGAGATCCAGAGAGGATCTCTTTCCGATTTGGTTTGTAGGTTTCAATGTGTTTATTTTGTTGATTTGTACTAGATACAGTTTGATTGAGTGAAAATATTACATCAAATGTCTTTTCGCCTAACTCTAACTTACGCATATATTGCAACTAATATTTTTTGAAATATAATGATATTTGGAGTTGAGAATTTGAGCAAAAGTGAAGATAAACACTATTAAACTATAATAATATTAGTATTCCATTGAGTCTAGCTATTCATTTATTTTTCTTCTTTAAAAATTTATGCCTCACTATGCAATCGAACATTTAGGCTTTACTACTAAATACTAAGTGAAAAACTTATATAGATTCAGATCTTACAGTAACAATGAAGCTGTTCTATATAAGTCTTTCTCATATAGTGGGATGAAACGTTTAAAACATATTCTTAGAAACCAAGTTATTTGTCCAGAAGTCAAGTGGATCAAAATCATAAAATAGTAACCCATTCCTCCAATGGTAAAATCAATGGAAAATACCTTAGCAAAGTATTACTCGAGCAAACTAAAATTAGCAAAATATTGTACTAATTTGGTAATTAACCACTCGGCAGCGACAATTCTACAGAAGGTATTCGCCACGCGTTTTTCCAGCGCGTCCGATTAACACGATTCTTCTCCGTCGGTGCATGCATGGGCAGCGCGCGTAATAGTGTGGATGTCGGGGATTTGGCAGGTTTCCCTTCATCTACGCGGCGTTTTGGGAAATGATTGTGTGGTCTCATGTACTCCGTATTTCCGTGGTCTGTCTTAGGAATTTTTCATTTTTGTATTTTATTATATTTTTCTTTTTGGTCTCAAGTCTGCCTCAGCAAGTTTCGAATACGTGTGTTTTTGGGTCAGATGGGTTATAATTGTGCTCACCCAGAACTGATTCTCTCCCGATATTGCACCTTCTCATTCTCAATTGTGATTAACGAATATGTTGTACTATTGTTTTAATCGAAACTCTTCGTTTCTCAATTGTCTTTTAGAGATTGCCTCAGCAAAAAACTAATCAAATTGAAGGTCATTGAGTTAGAGATCACATATATATCAAATAAATGAAATCACCCACACACGTACATGCACATATACATACATACATATATATATACATAAATGTCTCTAAAGATGAGAAAATTCTACAATATCATGTTGTATTTCATGCAAGGGGTGTGATATCCACACACCCCTTTTTACTTCTCCCACACCTTTTTGGTTTTCGGCCGTCGGATCGGATGAATTGAATAAGATCAACGGACCGAAATTAACAAGGGGTGTGTGAGAAGTAAAAAGGGGTGTGTGGATAGCACACCCCTTCATGCAAATGTGAAAATGAACGTTTTGATTCTTGGGACAAAGTAAATCGCTCAATTAGCTACTTCTTGTGGGATTTGAATGCCCACATGGTTTAACCAAAAATGAAAAGTAAGAAGGACTAAAAATAGTAGTATTGTTAGATTTTTGTTGTTGTTGTATGGCATGGTTTTCAACGTGTATTAATTTTCCTTATAGACTTCCGCACGTAAATGTCTCTATATCAAGAGCATGCAGTATATGATCTAACAACACACAAACTCAAGAGTGAAAGCAATAATACCAATATCCCTCTCTCTCTTTACCTGCATCTTTTGTGTGGTACAGTTACGAATTGGAAATAAAGCCTATCTGGCACACTGTCTATGAATTGGAAATACCTATATCGCCACATCTTCTTAAAAATCAAAGAACCAGAGACTCCCCCAAAACCTCCGTACAATAAACTCATGCTACTAGCATATTATCCCATTATTACCTGGAGACCATTACGTGCTAATCATAATACAGGGGTGATAATGACTACGTGAACTGGATGAGAATAATATGGAGATAATATAGACATTGTCACATCTTTTATACCATATGGAATACTTCAACCCATCTTGGTTAATCCTCGGCTGAAGTGACTCCAAGATAATAATTACGATAATTAAGACTGATAGTAATCACTATTCTAAAAATTCCTGCCTAGCTTCACTTAGGCTCTGCCTAGGCGCTAAGCGGTTGACTACTATCCTGATTAATCCCTAGGTGTTTGAAAATTAAGAAAGAATGCAAGCAACTGCCTAGGCGGTCTGCTTACTCACCCACCTAGGTGTTTGAAAATTAAGAAAGGACGCAAGCAACTGCCTAGGCGGTCTGCTTACTCGCCCACCTAAGCACATACCTAGGTTGCGACTCTTACTTAGACATAAAATAGATCACTTTCATTTTACATTTTATATTTTTAATAATTAAAAGAGACTTGTTTAAACTTGGATGAACACTCATTATATACTTGTTCCTCATGTTTTCAATATGTTTTAATACTATATAATCTATGTCATTTATGTATTCTCATACCATTATGTATTTTTTTTAAGTATAAGTAAACATTTACTTACATATCATATAATAAATTTAATTAAAATTAAAAAGAATCGCCTAGGCCACGTCTAGATGTTTAGACGCAAAACTATTGTCCGTCGTCCGACTAACGCCAAGAACCTCTTATAACCTTGATAGTAACATCTGGAAAAAATACTAATTCATCCAACAACCTCAATTTAATGGATTGATGATACAAAAGGCCAGAATTAAGCTGGTGAGTTTAGAAGTTAGAGAACTCATGAGAGGTAAAGCAAAACAATCACATAGAACACAGAGAAGAGAGCGGTTATAATCATAACACAATGAAGAGAATGGTGTCAGGTTTTAGGGGTTTTATTAAAACCATTTTGCTTTTGGTTTTTTATTTTTGTTTCAAAATTTTAAAAATTAAAAACTAAAAACTTGTTTGATAACTGAAAATAAAAAACTAAAAAACAAAATGGTTATCAAACTAGCTTGGATTTTACACAGTATGGCTTCGTTGACGAAGCAGGGCACTCTCCATCAACACTTTAACATGATATAGGATTGAATACCGGAAGACATTGTTGGGAACCATTCTAGGTGAATTAGGCTTCTGAGAGATTTACTTGCAGTAAATAAAATCTGAAAGATGGTTTTCAGGAGAATCATTGGATGCTGGACGCGAACCCTAATTATCCAGCCACTAAATTCTTCTTCCAAATAGAATAAACAACTGCAAGACATGGACTCTCGGATGTATAGAACTTAGAGAGTAATAAAAAAAAGAAGACAACCAGATAAATTTGTATATGAGAACACAATACTTGTCTTGACTTCAGCCAGAATATACTGAAAATACTTAGGGTTAATAAAATGTAAGAATACGAAGTACATATAATCTAGCTTCTAAGCCATCTCCTCATCCTGATCAAACACATTATTCTCATAACATAGAGCCTATCTGGTACACTGTCTATGAATTGGAAATACCTATATCGCCACATCTTCTTAAAAATCAAAGAAACAAAGAAAATATAAAACCATGGAAGTTGCTTCCCATCATCCACATCTTCGCTATTCTCATAATCTGCTGCATCAACTAGTTGTTCTGCATTCGTTTGGTAGCGGGGCACCGCAAAGTTTCGGATTCCCCTCAAATGCAGAGGATTGGAAGCTTCGAAGCTGAGTGCTTGTTGGTATTGGCCCTTCAAGATCATTGTATGAGACATTCAAATATGACAAGAAATTAAGGCCCTTCAATGATTCTGGGATTTTTCCAGTCAGATGATTTTTGGAGAGATCCAATGTATCCAAGTTTTTGAGGTTGGATATTTGGTCTGGGATGCTTCCAGAGAAGTTGTTGAAGCCAAGGTCCAACTTATGGAGAAGCCGCAGTTGGCCAATTTCAGTTGGTATATTGCCACTGATGCTATTGTTGTATAGGTATATAGATGGTGGGAAGAAACATAAATAATTGTACCGTAACGCTTTTGCATCGTCGCGAATTTGGATGAACATAGGCAATTCAAGGTAGTTCTGATACACTTGAGCTGAAGTTTCTTCATATAGCAACATCGCTAGTCTGCAAAGTTCCTTCGGAAATTCACCTGAAATTTGGTTGGGCCCTAAATTTATGTAAAAGAGCCTAGGAAGAGTCCATAACCAATTAGGGACTGACCCTGTGATTCTGTTAAAATCCAAATTCAAGATCTCTAGCTTCTTGAGCTTAGATAACCAAAATGGTATTTGACCAGTGAGCTCACAACTGTTGGAATTGTTGGATCGCCGGGCCCGTCCCACTCTAACAACACCGATACTGTCCCCACTTAACCACCTGCACAATCCTCAGGTGTGGGGTTTTATCACAAAAGGCCTCGGTATTAGTTAGAGTGGGGTAATACTATTTAAACTTCTTTAGTTTTCTTCACCCCACTGATGTGGGACAGTTTAACACTCCCCCTCACGTGTAACCTCATTTAGTGGTTCACACGTGGAGATCCACATCAGTAATTGAAACTCAGAGGTCGGCTCACGTTGGGCCCACTTGTTTTCAATTGGAACTCAGCGGTCGTTTCTATATTAAGAGTTTAGACTTGTTTCCTTCCGGGTGGTGACAAGCTCATTGGCTTGCACACAAGCTCGTTGGCTTGCACGGGCCCGCAACCGTGGACTCTGATACCATGTTGGAATTGTTGGATCGCCGGGCCCGTCCCACTCTAACAACACACCGATACTGTCCCCACTTAACCTAACCACCTGCACAATCCTCAGGTGTGGGGTTTTATCACAAAAGGCCTCGGTATTAGTTAGAGTGGGGTAATACTATTTAAACTTCTTTAGTTTTCTTCACCCCACCGATGTGGGACAGTTTAACACTCCCCCTCACGTGTAACCTCATTTAGTGGTTCACACGTGGAGATCCACATCAGTAATTGAAACTCAGAGGTCGGCTCACGTTGGGCCCACTTGTTTTCAATTGGAACTCAGCGGTCGTTTCTATATTAAGAGTTTAGACTTGTTTCCTTCTGGGTGGTGACAAGCTCATTGGCTTGCACACAAGCTCGTTGGCTTGCACGGGCCCGCAACCGTGGGCTCTGATACCATGTTGGAATTGTTGGATCGCCGGGCCCGTCCCACTCTAACAACACTGATACTGTCCCCACTTAACCACCTGCACAATCCTCAGGTGTGGGGTTTTATCACAAAAGTGGTGGATTTTCTGGGAATCAAAGGTCTCAAGAGAGTTGGAAATCAAGGGGAAAGAATTGGGATCACAAACCAAATTATCCTCAGAGACAGAGCAATATTCAAAGGAATTGGGATCACAAACCAAATTATCCTCAGAGACAGAACAATATTCAAAGGAATTGGGATCATAGGCCTAATTATGTCCAGAAGCAAAACAATGCTCAGGGTGATTGTAAGTGGTGTGACAGGTTGCACTATGGGAAGTGCTGGTATGAAGGTAAACCAAAGTGCACAGGCTGTGGTAAACCAGGTCATTCTATGAGAGATTGTCATGAGAATAGGGGCGTGCAGAAAGTTAATTATGTGAAGCAAATGGGAGAAACAGGATCACTGTTTTATGCCTGCAATGCAGTGACTGATGTGAAAGTCAATAACTCATGGTACATTGATAGTGGTTGTAGTAACCACATGACAGGAGATGAGAGATTATTGGTCAATGTTCAAAGAGGTTTGACATCCAAAGTGAAAATGGGAACTGGAGAAATCTGTGAAGTGGCAGGAAAGGGAACTTTGGTGATTGAAACTAAATTGGGAAGAAAACATATACAAGAAGTAATGCTTGTTCCCGGACTTGAGGAAAATCTTCTAAGTGTAGGGCAAATGATGGAAAATGGTTATTATTTGTTGTTTGGAGGTGATGTAGTGAATATTTTTGATGGATGGTCACTGGATAATTTAGTAGTAAGGGTACATATGACCAGCAATCGATGTTTTCCTTTGACAATGTTGCCTGCAACACAGTATGCACTAAGGGCAGGTATCACTCGTTGTTCTCAAATATGGCATAAGAGGTTGGGTCATTTGAATGAGAGAAGTCTCAAGGTACTTGAAGAACAGGAGTTGGTGCATGGATTACCTAAATTAGAAATGTCCCAAAGTGTGTGTGAAGGTTGCATGTTGGGTAAACAACACAGAGACTCATTCCCTTCCCAATCAACTTGGAGAGCTAAAGACCCACTAGAGTTGATTCATACTGATCTCTGTGGTCCAATGCAAGTAGAGTCTCATTCTGGAAACAAATATTTTTTGTTGTTTACAGATGACTGTACAAGGATGTCATGGGTGTATTTTTTGAGAAACAAGTCTGATGTGTTTGAATGTTTCAGAAAGTTCAAGGCAATGACTGAGTTACAATGCGGATATAAGGTTAAATGTCTCAGGAGTGATCGAGGGGGAGAATTCCTTTCTGCAGAGTTTGACAAATACTGTAATGGACAAGGAATTCAGAGACAATTGACTATGGCCTACACTCCTCAACAGAATGGAGTGTCCGAAAGAAAGAATAGGACTGTGGTGGAGATGGCAAAGTCAATGCTACATGAAAAAAACCTTCCATATGCATTTTGGGCAGAAGCAGTGAATACTGCAATCTATTTGATCAATAGGTGTCCTACTAAAGCTTTGAAGAAGTCAACCCCATTTAAAGCTTACAGTGGCAGAAAACCTGGAATAGCTCATTTGAAGATATTTGGCTCACTGTGCTATGTGCATATCCCTTCCAATCTCCGACATAAGTTGGAAGAAAACAGTCACAAGTGTATCTTTGTAGGATATGGTTCAAGTGAGAAGGGCTACAGGTTGTTTGATCCTATTTCAAGGAAGATTGTTCTCTCAAGGGATGTCACATTTGATGAGAGTAAATCTTGGGATTGGAACTGCAATATAGATACTGGAGTGACATTTCCAGTTATCACTGAACATAAGAATGCTAATGAAATCTGTGAAGTTGATGACAATTCTCAGTTTGAAGAATACAATGTTTCTCAAAGTGAGAATGTGCTTGAGAGATCTCCAACTTATGATGATACACCGAAGAAATGGAGAAGTATCAATGAAATCATGGCTCAATGCAACATGTGTGTTATTGAACCAGAAAGCTATGAGGATGCAGTCAAAGATGATTCATGGAGGAGTGCAATGAAAACTGAATTGGACATGATTGAGAAGAACAACACATGGCAGCTTGTTGAGAGACCATATGACAAGCCTGTTATTGGTGTTAGATGGGTTTATAAGACCAAACTTAATCTGGATGGCACCGTGCAGAAGAATAAAGCTCGGCTGGTGGTTAAAGGCTATTCACAAAAGCCCGGAATCGACTATAATGAAACTTTTGCCCCTGTGGCAAGGTTGGATACAATTAGAACTTTAATTGCCCTTGCTGCACAGAAGAAATGGAACTTGTATCAACTAGATGTAAAGTCTGCATTTCTCAATGGGGTACTGAAAGAAGAAGTGTATGTTGAGCCGACCTCTGAGTTTCAATTACTGATGTGGATCTCCACGTGTGAACCACTAAATGAGGTTACACGTGAGGGGGAGTGTTAAACTGTCCCACATCGGTGGGGTGAAGAAAACTAAAGAAGTTTAAATAGTATTACTCCACTCTAACTAATACCGAGGCCTTTTGTGATAAAACCCCACACCTGAGGATTGTGCAGGTGGTTAAGTGGGGACAGTATCGGTGTTGTTAGAGTGGGACGGGCCCGGCGATCCAACAATTCCAACATGGTATCAGAGCCCACGGTTGCGGGCCCGTGCAAGCCAACGAGCTTGTGTGCAAGCCAATGAGCTTGTCACCACCCGGAAGGAAACAAGTCTAAACTCTTAATATAGAAACGACCGCTGAGTTCCAATTGAAAACAAGTGGGCCCAACGTGAGCCGACCTCTGAGTTTCAATTACTGATGTGGATCTCCACGTGTGAACCACTAAATGAGGTTACACGTGAGGGGGAGTGTTAAACTGTCCCACATCGGTGGGGTGAAGAAAACTAAAGAAGTTTAAATAGTATTACCCCACTCTAACTAATACCGAGGCCTTTTGTGATAAAACCCCACACCTGAGGATTGTGCAGGTGGTTAAGTGGGGACAGTATCGGTGTTGTTAGAGTGGGACGGGCCCGGCGATCCAACAATTCCAACAACAACGACTCAAAGACAATATTTGAAGATTTTTGAATCCATCAAAATCAACGAGGCCATCATCTGCTGGAATTTCCTCACCTATAAAGCTATATGAAAAGGTCACGAATATGAGACTTTCACAACGCATCAACATGTTCATTGCCCCCGAGAGGTTGGTCCATTTGTTACCACTAAGCGAGAGGAAGGACAAGTATTTCAAGAAAAGAATCTCAGGTTGTATTTGTCCCTCTATGTCGTTTAAGCTGAGTCGAATTGCTTTAAGAGACTTGCATGAATAAAGGCTTACTGGAAAGGGGCCGGTAGGGATGGGCAACGGTTATGGTGGGCGGGTAACCGCGGTTATTTACCCATAACCGTTTAAGCTTTTACCCGCATAACCGTTTACCCGTTGGGTATTTACATAAACGGGTATATCCATACCATAACCGTTTATAAACGGTTAACCATACCCATAACCGTATACCCATTTCCCCATAACCGCATACCTATTTAATCGTAACCGCGTACCCATTTACCCTTTTTTTTTCACTCGTATACCTATTTTTTTAACAACTTGAAAATTAAAAAGAAATTTGTCATAATTTTCTTTTTCTAACAATTAAATACCGTTATAAATACATTTAACATGAATTTATGTATTAACGGCAATACTATTTATGAATATATGCGATGTCTCCCAATTATTTGACGGTCAATCTGTGGATGCAAATTTCTTCCTCCTTGATCTTGGACAATTTTGCACCTACAAAACAATTAACACCTTAGGTTAAGGCCAAGAACCTCACGCGCCCACGATAAATTGGGGGGGGCTTTGGCCGAAGAACCTCCGATGCCAAAGTTAGAATTTAGAGAGAAAGAGTGTTTAGAGAATTTTGGGATTTTTGCCAAAGTGTTTGAATTA